CCCCCAATTCTTCACATAAATATCCTGAGATTTGTGAAATATGGTATATTTAACTATTAAATATAAATGATATATTTAGTATGAGAAAAGATGAGGAAAGTACCACACTTAATCAAAATCTGCTTAAAAGAATTTTGAAACCATGCACTATGCATTGCCATTTTCAAGGGAGGTTCTTCTTGTGGTACCAAACTTGTACAGGTTGGTCTTCTACTAAAAAAACATGCCATACAGTTCTGAGATGTTTCCCTATATCCCAAATAGAGTAATCCTCTCTTAGCCTTCATTTTCAGTAAAACTACAAAGAGAGCAGAAACAAGAGCTTTTACTCTTTCATTGAGGGAACAATTTTAATTTAATAACTGGTGTGATTTGATCTGGAAAGACTTCAATAAGTATCCGTTAAACAACAAAAAACACTTGAACATCTCTACCCCCTACTTCCCATCAGAGGAATCCATAAGCTCATAACTAAAAATGCCAGTGACCTCATACCCTTTTTTTATGTGGTGCTTGTTTTGGTTTTCTTACACAAGTATTTTGCTGTCCAATTAAATGTAGTTTTAAGGTGTAATGATTTTATCACTACAGTGCATAAATGGATTTAACACCAGTTTAAAACCTTGCATACTTTAGCCGTAGGTGTAAAGTGCTCATTTCTACTTCATGAAAACATGGTTTAGACTTTTGCTAAGCAGATTTATAGAAGGGATTGCCAGAACCTCTGCTGCAGGACTGTTACAGTACTTAACGATATATAAGTCCTGTAACTCTAGCAGAAAGAGCCAAGCATGGACATGGGCTTGATTACACACGGTTTCAGAGAGTATTTTGATAATTGCATTCAGCATGAATAGTAAATGAAGGGAAAGGGCAAGTCTGGAAATATTCAATCATCATGCAGGTAAAACAGCTGCAAGTATGAGAACTCAGTGCAAAATTCAGAGATGACCAAATAATTAAAACTGGACCAAAATGACAGACAACAACTATATTCTAACTACTTTAGGTAGTGAAATCTTTATACCTCCATGCAGCATGTGAACAAAATAACAGAATAACTGGTGAATAGGGAAGGAAGTAGATTCCTCCAAGGTGGTATAACATCCTCTTTTTTCATTCCCACTCTCCGGGATGACTTTCACATTTGTCCAGCTCTCAACCATCAGCTCTATCAGGTTAATAAAGTGTCAGTAAACAACTGCGTAGACCTAATAGAATCCCAACTGTCCAGTTCTGGCAACAGGTAAGAAGCTGTGGATTGGGAGGTTTTGGGGAACTAGGCTCTCTCTTACCATTTATATACCAGACTTAAAAGAATACTAGGCCAAGCAACTCTTCTAGACTCTTTGATCTACTACCTGGAGCTCTGGAGCAACACATAAGAAGAATTACATAAGGTATCTCTCCAGGAGAAAATCTGGTTAGTATTTTCTAAGTAAGCCAACATTTTAAAAGACAGGTACAGAAAATATTTTTCTAGAAGGTACATTTTCCCTAATCCTATTTATTGAAAATTCATATCCCTTTCTTTTAGCCTACGTTAACTAAATTAAACTACATGACAACTAAATAAAAATGTATTGATTTAATTTTCTTTCTTTTTCCTTTTTTTGTGAAAAACAAACTTGAAGGAAAAAAGGCAATTAAACAGCCTTTTCAAGTAAGGGGAAAATCCCAAGTAACTAGAGCTAGCTTTGATGACACAGAAGTCATGCTGTGCCACTCCGAGGGAAAGCAAGCTAGTATGTGACCTTATGATAAGGGGCAAGGAGATGTGCCAACCTTGTTTTGACATGATAACCTTTGAAGGATTCAAGACAAAAGCTAATTTATCAGTTGAGGTGCAATTAAGAACTGAAGACTAAATCATGCTTTGATGTACTACAGCACCTAGTGGCAGGACTTGTTCTCACTGGAAAGCAAAAGAGCATCTACCAGCACATCCATCTACCAGCATAACTTCAAGAGCTCAGGAATCTCCAGGCACAGCTAAAATAGACTTCTACTTCACAGAGCAGCCAAGGCTACCTCATTTGGAGGTACTCTCCAAGAGGGGCTTTCTCCTCTAGTTACCTGCCACAGAACCAATGAGAACAGACTTTCAAAAGCTTAAAAAGGCAGTCTAGCAACATTGCAAACTGTTAGCTTATCAACCAAACTTAGCTGCATTTCAGCCCCCCAGTCTTCTCAATCACAGCTTCTCTTACACTTAGCATCCTTTCAGGAGAGACTCATAGCACCAAACTACCACATACTTCAGTTTACTCGTTTTGGTATCCATCAGGTGCATTCTTTGCCTCGTCTCCTTTCTATTCACCTTTTGTTGCCTTTTATACTATCATTGCCTGCTTAGTCTTGCTGTCCCTCCAGCAAGCAGATGAGCCCCAGAGCTTTGAGCTGTCTTGCTATGACAATATCCCAAAAAACAAGCCTATATAGATATAGTTACATGCATGCACCACACATTTGTGACTGGATAACGTACATACACAACTCTGACCTAATTTTTATAATCTCACTCAGATCTTAGCCTTCTTCCTTTCCCACTGTTGTGACTCAGTTGTATTTTACCAAAGACTGAGAGTTATTTTCTTATTCCTGGGGCTTTGCGTTGCAAGTTTTTCAAAGCAGCAGTTGTCACTAAGTTTCACACAAGCATCTAGTGTACCTCTGATTTTGAAGAGCAGCAAAAGCAAGCAGAGGCAGTGTTCTCCAATGAGTAACACCCCATTTAAGTGACCATATCCTCCATGGTCTTCATTTCCTCAGCTCCTAAGGACACTTATTTCCAACTTCATTGCTACCCTTTTAGATACTCTGTATTAACTCATAGATGCTTTTAAAACAAATGATACCACTAAAATCAATTGACCACCATAATCAGCAGTACGTGATAAAAGTACGTGGTGAAAGGTAATCTAGATGCTGTTGCATATTAGACATAAAAATACGAAGTGGCACCAATCAATCACCTTTACTGAATATTACTTCACAAGAAAGGAAAATAGAAAAACAATCTGAGATGACCAACAAGAGAAGTAATTTAGCCACAAAAACCACTGGATTAGAGAAACGATACACACACACACCTTGTCCTCCATCTTCCACATTGTATTCATTAAGGCTTTGACTTCCCAACGAAAAAGAAAAAGCAAATAGTAACTTGTTCATGGTTTAAAACAGTAACAGCTTCTTTCTTTCTTCAGCAAAATACCAATTTTAAGATTGCCCCCCACTGGGGCCAATTTCTCACAATTTCTTGCAGGGAAAATGTCTTTGAAAATACTTAACATATTGTTACATAATAAAAACATACTTAAAATACAACACACCACATAGTAATTATTTTGTGCCACTTTATCCACTGGTAAAATACATGCATACTATTCCTAGCTAAACTCCTATACTCCTAAAAATTGTGGAATTTAAAACCTTTTTTCTCAACAGCCTAGACAAAGCTGTAATTCATACTTTATCATAGTTAGGTAAGAGCAAGGAAGCCTACTCTAAAGAGCATAAAAAGCCAGGAAAAATTCCATTTAGTTGCCAGGTATAAGGTGTTCAGATTCATGCCTAAGTATCTGTTTGTGGTTACTAATACTTTATAATCAATCACCAAATACTGAATATTTGCAGAGATAATTTGGCACCTATTAAGAAAATGACGAAAGTTTCAAAGCCCTAACAATTTGATGATTTGCTTACTATCCTATTCACGATTGCTGAACTGAAGCCACCAATATAAGTTTTGAGAAATTAAATGCCAGTATCAAAGAAACAGCTGCTATATCACACCAAGTACCAGTTTTATTTATTTAGCTTTCATTTTGCTTCCAATTCCCAGAGTCCATCCTTTTACCTCCTATAAGCTTTAATCACTACAAAAGAACTCAACTCCTCAGTGTTGTCTTCTGTCAGATACTGATATTTCTGTTCTTCTATATTATAAGACTTGGAGCTCCAAAAAACCCTCTGAGAACAAAAATATCAACGCTTCATCATTGTGCTTAGCCATTTCCACACACCTTGCAGCAGGACAGTATTGTTCCACCACAGACAAACAAGCAGATCTTAAGATTTTTTTAAAGGCAAGAGTACTATAAGATAATTCAACTAGGGATAACTGGTATTTCAAAAATCCTAGGAGGAATCAGGAAAAAAGCATACTTTGTCTTAGGAAGCAAAAAAGCCCCCCAAAAATAGGTTACAGAGTTGCGTATGTACATAACACAAAAATCATGAGGACAAAGCATTACTTATTCTGCAAGATGCTTTCTCCCACACATTAACTGGAAAACTTATGCAGCATTTCGAAAACATACAACTGTGTTAAGAAGAAAAATAATCACAATCTGGACAGACTCTGCAGCTGCCCCTTTGACTTATCAATTTCAGTAAGCACAATTTCAATCAAGTCTAGATAAAATATACTAATCCTAAATAGACCAAGTTTGTCACCTACCACTTCCTATAAGCTGCTTACTATCCTGAAAAAGAGAGAGAGAGAGAGAGAGAGAGAGGAAATGCTAAATTAAATGCCAAACAGTAGCAGACAGCGCTTGTTTGGCTGATTAACTTGTAGACAAGCATTACGAATAAATCTAAGCATGGTCTGCAGCAAATTAAATTCCAGTGCTTTTAAGAACAAAGAATTCCTTCGGAAAGAGGATTAGCAACTTTACACCCAGGAATG